TGTTATGTTGTGTGTGTGTGTGTGTGTGTGTGTGTGTGTGTGTGTGTGTGTGCATGTATACATGGAGAGAGAGAGAGAGTTTTATTATTTGTTTTAAATATAACAGAATTTAATGCTACCAAAAAGGCTGGTAAAGCTGGAAATGAATTCAGTTGTGATTTGTATATTTTTATAAAGCTTGTGAATAATCAGATTTATTATTTTCGTTTAAGAGGCTGTAAGCTGAAGAAGTCTTCATAGGTAGCACAATATGACAACAACTGTTCTAAATGATATGAGAAAGAAACCACTATACCATTTTTCATCAAACTGTGAATCAAATTCTGCTTATATTTTTAAACGATTTGTCTCATCTACCTCATAACGACTTGGGCTTGATTCTGTTTTAATGAAATATGCAAATCCTGTCAGCTATAAGAGAGTTATCAGTACTTCTTGTGTCATTACTGTTTGAGAACGCTTGTGTTCGGTGTCTCTTACTTGCCTTAGCAAATCTTGCAAAATTGACAATAAATGGTTGGTTTACGAGTACATAGGAACCAGGTTGTTTGTGAGCACTGCAGACCTGCAGGTGGGCTGTATAAAAATATACATCCCTCAAAGCTGTATGGGGCATCTAAAACGTTTTAAAATTTTGTTCAAGTGTTGCTAGGCAACAGCAAAATGGTCTCAGCCTCCTTGTTATATGAGTGTTTCTGCTGGGGTTTGCTCCCATTTATATCTTCCCTTTTTTTGTGTCCTTTCATTAGCAAATATAACATTTGTCTTTTTTTTTTTCTGCCTCAAAATTGCACTCGAGTTACAGAAAGGCCTAAATGTTTAAGCCAGCATTTAACTGGCTTTATCGCTTATTCTTCAAGAAGAATAAACAATATCCTTGTTATAGATATTTATGCACACAAATCATTGTAGCCAAACACATATAGTGTGCTTAATTATATTAGACAATTATTCATTTGTAATTAACCACTGAAATGTAGACTTCTGTTTTGAAGATACAAGCAGATGCACAGAACACTATGAGCACAGCGTAACACAGAGCGCGTCACATTGTCTGCAATCTCTCCTCACTACACTGTGCTGCTAATCTAATGCATTCGCCGCAATCACTATGGAAACTGACTTTTGCCACACAGCCGCTACTGAAACAGACATGCAACAAATGCTGTCAGCGATTGTCCACTGACGTATGTTTACATGGAGGTCTGAATCAGTGTTTCTTGTAGACCATAGCGAAAGTATATTTCTGTTCTCTAGTTATAACTACATGGTAAATCCTTCAGTATAGTAGTGTAGCATATTTTAAGGCTGAAATGATTTCTGTGCAAATTCTAAACAAGATCCACAAAGTAAATTTGCCACTGTAGTCCACAGACGAAACAGCAAGAGCTTTGTCATAGAGGTTTGGACAAAAAGAGTACTTAGCAAACACATCAAAATCCCTTTAATCTAACCGCCTGCCTCTAGCTAAAATGTATGAAAATGCTCTTCATGGTTTTAAAGGGTTTATCCGCTTCAAAGGCGGCTGGCTGATGCATCGCTCTGACCGTGCAGTCCTCCAGCCCCGGAAAGAATGCACTCAAGCCTTTGGACAAGTTTCTGAGCTCAGCCCTCATTCAGGGGACAGTCTTCCCTTTTTTCATCTTTACATAAGGCAAATTTACATGTGCTGATGATGTCTGCTCAAATTCAGCACACCACCTCCCCCCTCCAAAAACACATTCACAAAAATAATGCATTTTCCTCTTGAGTGCAAAAGACAGTGAATCAAGTCTGTCAGAGAAGTAGTATCATAGTGTAGCGTCATTGTTGTATTTGGGTTTTACGTGTTATTGGTTCATGATTGCAGTGTAATGCAACAAAATGCTGAATGCAAATGAAAGTGGGGGGAGGGGGTGTCTGCTGATAGATCATTCTGATTGGTTATAAAATGGCATGCGTGTTTAATGATAGTGTTCCGATTTGTGGAGTGAAAACACAAGGGAAGCATCCTAAATCTGAAGAGAAAATGATCCTTCCCACTTTGTGCATGTTGCTGTCAGCCCAGATCTTTTCATAAAACCGCCACGAGCATGCCTCGCATTTGAATTAGGCTGATGAGTGGAATCTGTGCCCACAGAGAGGCCGGCGGCACTTTCCCAGCGTCACATGACGCTTAATTAGGGATTCTTCTACATTATAGGGCTGGAATTCTGCCAAATGTGTATCAGTTGTTTCAGGCAATGCACTAATCATTACGCTCCTTGCCTCCTGAGGTGTATCGAGGCTGCATTCTCTCCTCTGGCATCTCAGACAGAAAAAAACCCAGCAGTCGAGGTTGTGTCGAAACAGCCTGTGAAGGTAAATCTAATTTTAGATCTGAAGTTTCACTTTGATGATTATTTGAATACTTAGATATGAATCTCACGCTCTTCTTCTGCAAACATGTGGCTATAGTAAGCAGCAATATCTTGCTGTTTACAATATAGTGTAAACAAACAACACTTTAGAGAGCTGGTTGCACTTCTCACTTGGCAGACAAGGAGATGGTAA